TTAAGCTGGCCAGCTGACTACAGCCGTGTCCCTCCCCCCTCTGGGAGCTCGCTGCTTGTAGTGCTGACCGAGGGTACAGCAAAGCCTTTTATCTGCAACACTACAAAGCATTTCCTGGCACTGGCAGGGTTCACACAAAGTTTACAAGTACGAATGGGGAGGTAAACAGAGTCACACCTGGCTGGGTTGAATCATAATATATTGTTTTCTGAGACAATCTAGCAATTTTTCTCTGTCAAAATCCCCGACCCTAATACAATAGGTAAACTTTCCATGCCTCTGTCCCTCCCCCTAGCACATTCTGTAACCCTTCCATGCCTCAGTCCCTCACTCTAGCACACTACCTGGTGAAAGAAATAGACTTACAAGTCCAGGAAGCACAGAGAACCCCAAACAAGGAATCCAAAGAGGATCCAAGACAGATCATAATTAAAATGCCAAGAGCAAAAGACAAAGAGAGAATCTTAAAAGCGGCAAGAGAAAAACAGTGAGTTACCTACAAGGGAGTACCCATATGACTGTCAGCTGATTTCTCAACAGAAACTTTGCAGGCCAGAAGGGAGTGGCAAGAAATATTCAAAGTGATGAATGCCAAGAACCTACAACCAAGATTACTTTATCCAGCAAAGCTATCATTCAGAATTGAAGGTCAGATAAAGAGCTTAACAGATAAGGAAAAGCTAAAGGAGTTCATCACCACCAAACCAGTATTATATGAAATGCTGAAAGGTATCCTTTAAGAAGAGGAAGAAGAAGGGTAAAGATACAAATTATGAACAACAAATACACATCTATCAACAAGTGAATCTAAGAAGCAAGTGAATAAATAATCTGATGAACAGAATGAACTGGTGATTATAATAGAATCAGGGGCATAGAAAAGGAATGGACTGACTATTCTTGGGGGGGAAAGGGGTGTGGGGGATTCGAGAAGAGACTGGACAAAAATCGCACACCTATGAATGAGGACAGTGGGTGGGAGTGAGGGTGGAGGGTGGGGTGGGAACTGGGTGGAGGGGAATTATGGGGGGGAAAGAGGAACAACTGTAATAATCTGAACAATAAAGATTTAATAAAATAAAAAAAAAGAGTTTAACTCAGTCTGGGCTTGGGTGCAGTCACAGGTGTGGACTAATCAGCCCCAGCATCAGATCACCTTTGAATCTTACTCTGGCTCTTACTTGCTGGGTGATCTTGGGGAAATTACTTAACTCATTGGAGTCTCATTTATAAAAAGAGGGATATATTGTCTACACTGTAGGATTGTTGGAAAGATTAAGTACATGATGTATGTACATATCTCATGCAGTGGTCCTTATAAATAGTATAAAGACCAGTCAGCATGGCGGACGTGGAACAATCTCCTCCCTCCATCCAAGTAAACACACTGCCGCCAGCACTAGTCAGAACTCCCCTGTGCTTGGCTTCCCTCCCACACTGTCAGGTCACACTGAACTTGGGTCGGCTCAAAACCTCAGGCCCTGTCACAGGGGCTGCTGTGGACTCCCCCTTTCTCTCCTTATGCAAGTAATTTTTTAACC